GACATGGGCACCAGATGGAGAACGGAAAAGAGGATGGGGGAGTAAGGAGAAGTGGCTTAGGACCGGCAGGGATGCTACGCCAAACTTTTATTTAGAGAATTAAATCAAGAATACTGTTTTTTCGTAAGGTGTAAAATCAGTTATTAATTTTTTTTTGTATCCTTAAATAGTACAATTTTCTTCAAAATTTGAAGCAATATTCACAATAAATATAGTTATTGTTGCACGCAAAGATTTTTTAAATTGGATTAACTGGTTTTGTGTAATCCACGAAAATGTAACTTATTTTATGTTGCTTTTTTAATTTTCTTGTGACTAAAATATTTTCAAAAAATAAAAAGAGAGAAAAATTACTACTGGCAACATAATCTATATTCATTTAGTTTTAAAAGAAATCAAAAACTATTTAAACACTTTTATCCTGGAACACACATGGACGCAAGCAGAAAACTCCCCAGGATGTAAAGCTCCAGCACCGTCAGCGAATTGACAAAACATACCCGCCTCCCCGGTAAGTAAACAAAACTTATTTTGGCCCATTGGGGGCCCTCTAATTGGTTTATAAAAAAATCCTTGGGTACAATTGTTCGATACATTAAACTCTAATTTTGGGCGGAGTTTGAAATTTATAGGTATAAAATGCAAAAAATGAACATATTTTTATTTTATTAATAAATACAAAGAACTCAAACAAAAGATATTGCACAAGTTTTAAATTGTAATTTTAATTTTCTCATGTGTAAGAAACATTTCATTTAAAATCAGTTTACTATCCAGAGTTATTTCGGGCAAATGAAAAAAGTTAAATATTAGTCATTTGTATGATAGTTCTTACAACAAGGGACAACATAAAGTGATACTTTTCAAACGTCAGTGAAGGAATACATCATTTACTCTTATTGCTATGCAAATTCAGCAACCATCGTTTATACAATCGCACAAAACACGTGTGCAATCCCACAGTCCAACATACAAATAAAACTTGGCAAACAGCAGGTTTTTCGCTTCCGAACGAGTAAAAACGTGATAAAACAAAATGTAGTGACACTAAGCCCGAGTTTTTTCGGGATGATAAATATTTGCAGTATATCCGAGTTAACTCGGGATAAGTAAGGTAAGCGGTTAAACAACGACTTTAGTATCAGTTTAGTGTTCATGAAATCCGGTCGAAATCATTCTTAGTAATTATGGCAGATTAAACACGTGATCTCAAAAATCATCCTTAGTTAATCTACGTAAGAATAAAAAACGGCAGCCTTATTTTTTATTTCGGCATGCTAAAAATTTTGATTGGATAGAGTAAAGTAACAGATTAATTAAACAGCTTTGCGATTTATCAAAGTGAATTTAGATAAAATAATTCTAAATATTGTAAAAACATCTTAAAAAAAGTCAGCTTTTAGCATATCGTTTAAAAAATTAAAGAATCTGCTGATTTTTTTGTATTTTTTTAACGAAATTGAGTGTATTGATTTTTCCGTGATTTTAAAGAATTTCCAAGGGAAATATATTTTTTGAAAGAAAAATTGTTTGATGATTAATTAATTTAACTTTTGAAACGAACCCATAAAATGAGGGCATTTTTATTATATTAGACAAGTCAAAAATATTAAAAAAATTGCTTGATCTCTATTTTTGAGACTTAGTTTTAGAGTGACGTTATAGAATTTACCGGGGCTAAATGTACTAAACATATATCATGCAAAACAAACATTTATTATTTTAGTTTTTTAGTAAAAGAGAAGTTATTTTTTATCTTTCCTTTTATTAATTTTTTTCAAAACAAATTCACAAAGTTACATACTATTTTAGTAGTTCAAAATTTAATCAAACGTAAAATAAAAGTTTATTATAAATTCATTTGGAGAGCTATTGATTTTAATTAATTGAATGTTAAACTTTGAAGGAACTGTATTAAAACTTTTCATAGTTTTTAAATAAAAATTATGCTTTTATAGTCCTTTAATACTATATTCTAGAAAACTTTGCCTCTGTCAAAAAGAAGAGATCAAGAACGCTAGATTAAGCTCTTAGTAAAATATCTCATGGATTATAGCACAAATAAAAACAAAGAATAGATACTTAGAGTGAACCACACATGCACCAGTAAATTAAGATAGCTGCAAATCCAAATGCATTATGACAATCCTGCATTACAAACTGAAATACATTAGTTTCAAAATAGCAACTCAACAACTACAGGTTCAAAAGAAAACTTTCAGTAGCAAGGAAAACAGCTGGTTAATCATATTATGATTCTTTGAATTAAGATCATTTTAATTAAATTAAGATTAAGGAATAACTGAATTATGGAAATGTTGCCATTAATGTAAGTCAGAAAAATACAAGTACAATTTGCAAATTATAGCACAAGGAAATATAATTTAAGAAAAAAAAATTAATAATTCCCTGCAGATGCCAGAAATTGTTTTTACCAGAAGCTAGGAAAACTGTAGGTCCAAAGACTATATTGCAATTTCATCTTTATCTCAAGGCCACAAGCTATAAATTGAAATCAACTAACACCTTAACCAAGGAATTTATAATAGGTAGAAAAATATGAAATATAAAAGTTCCAGGCAAATGCTAGAAAGAAATTATGAAAGCAAAGAGAACTTCCGGTCAACAGATCATACTACAATTTCTTCATCTGTAGATAATACCAGCTGTAAATTAAAATCAATAAATAATTGAAGCAAAAATTTAAGAAAAGCAAAAAATATTAAATATAAAAATTCCAAGCAAATGCCAGGAAAATAATCAAAACCCACATAGAAATTTATTCTTCATCTTCAAAGATATAAAATTAAAATGATTGGCAATAATATATATATATATATATATATAAAACATACATATTAGTATATATATATTTATGTATGAGCTTAAAAGGTATATATTTTTATAAACTTAAAAGGTAATAGCTGTGTGAGCAACCAATAATAAATAAAATGAAATAACAAAAAAAGCACTACTCAGTACTTTTAGGTATAGTATAGTAAAAGTACTAAGTGAAGAAATGTTTCTACGCAAAAATTGGAGAAAATATTGAAGGAAAAGAAAACTAAGAATAAAACCAAGAAAATATTAAAACCAAGTCTGTAGACTAAATTTGAAAGAAGAGATCAAGAATGCTAGATTAAGTTCTTAGTAAAATATCTCATGGATTATAGCACAAATAAAAACAAAGAATAGAAACTTAGAGTGAACCACACATGTACCAGTAAATTAAGATAGCTGCAAATCCAAATGCATTATGACAATCCTGTATTACAAACAGAAATACATTAGTTTCAAAATAGCAACTCAACAACTACAGGTTCAAAAGAAAACTTTCAGCAGCAAGGAAAACAGCAGGTTAATCATATTCTGATTCTTTAAATTTTTAAGATCATTTTAATTAAATTAAGATTAAGGAATAACTGAATTATGGAAATGTCACCATTAATGAAAGTCAGAAAAATACAAGTACAATTTGCAAATTCTAGCACAAGGAAATATAATTTCAGGAAGAAAAAAAAAGTTATAAATTCAGGCAGGTGCCAGAATTTTTTTATACAAGAAACTAGGAAAACTGTAGATCCAAAGACTATATTGCAATTTCATCTTTATCTCAAGACCACAAGCTACAAATTGCAATCAACTAATACCTTAACCATTGAATTTATAAAAGGTAGAAAAATATGAAATATAAAAGTTCCAGGCAAATGCTAGAAAGAAATCATAAAGGCAAAGAGAACTTCCAGTCAATAGATCATACTACAATTTCTTCATCTGTAGATAATACCAGCTGTAAATTAAAATCAATAAATAATTGAAGCAAAAATTTAAGAAAAGCAAAAATATTAAGCATAAAAATTCCGGGCAAATGCCAGAAAAATAATCAAAGAGCCACATAGAAATTTATTTTTCACTTTCAAAGACCACAAGCTATAAAATTAAAATCAATAAGTATTTCAAACAAGGCAAATTTTTTAAAAAATTATTCTATATTTACAATATTTTCCCTATGTTAGAAGCACAATGAACATGAAAAGAATAAAATTTAAATGTGTGAGTAAAATTATGAGTGAATAATTAAGTGTGAATAGAAGCACAATGAACATGAAAAGAATATAATTTATATGTGTGAATAAAATTATGAGTGAATAATTAAGTGTGAGAAAACGTTTAGTTTTGAATAATAAATTAAGAAGAAGATTTAGATAATAAAATAACATAAAAAGATTAAACTTTTTATGTTGCAGACCACTTTCCCAAAAAATTTGTATTACCATCTAAAAATTTATAAAAAATTATTCTCTATTTACAATACGTTCCCTATGTTAGAAGCACAATTAACATGAAATGAATACAATTTATAATCTTAATATACAATCAGTATATAAAAATAAGATTTATAAAAAACATGCTTTTGTAAAAAATGACAAAAAATTAATATACAATTAGCTGCAGATAAATCTTTGTAAGCCTACTTTTCAATTAAATGAATTTAAAAAAAAAATATTTTAATAGTTTATATTTACTCTCTGTCAGTTCAAAGTCATTTATTTATTTTTCTTGATAATAGTCTTTTACCAATGAATACCATTTGCCATCTATACAACTTTAAATTTTTTCACTTAAAATTATAAATTCCCCCCTGGACTTAAAAAAATGCAAACATTCAAAAACATGAAATAGAAAAAAAATCAATCTAAAATTAGAGACTATAAAAAGAAGAAATCAGATATTATAAAAAAGAGAGAACAGGTTGCATAACAAGTAAGCTGTAGCAACACTACAGTAGTCTGTAAAACCAAGGCCAAATATTAAATAATACATTCCCAAAATTTTTACAATAAGTTGAAAAGCTTAAGAGCTCAAAGTAGATTTTTCAGAAAAATACTTGAAAAAGTAAATAAAAAACTAATAAACCCCAGTAAATTTTATTAAAATCTTTTACATTTAAAACTAATAATAATATAAAACTGCAATAAATCTTAAATAAAATATTTTTATCATTCAAAATTTTTTTATTGTAAAAAATGACTTTACAATTTAGTAAATTTTCTGCAAAATTCATGACGTATGAGCATTTTCAGGGAAATGACATAAATATTATTAAAATATCTAAAGCAGAATAGTTATATAAATGTAAAAAGCAAACTGGTATTGTAAATAGAAAATTATAATTAGAGAAGATGAAAAAATAAGGTTAAATAAACAATAATAATAACAATAAGACCCAGTTTAAAATCAGGAAAATTCCATAGAATGGATTAAATTAAAATCAAACAAACCTCTACATGACAAAAATTTACATTTAATACAATTATATTCACATCAACCAACACTGAGCAGGGTGGTCACTTAAATCCAGTCATAAATTTCCCTAATTTTTTTCAGGTTTTTCCATGTAAACATATTAAAATTTCCAGGTCGTCAAGTTTTTTTCTCCTAAAGTGTAGGATAGGTACAAGAAAAGTCTCCATATTATGAAATATTTCTTTTTCTTTTAATTCATTTTTTTTTCAATATTTCCAATGGCAAGACAAAAATGAAAATAAATGAACAGGAACAAAAGTAAAGATGACACAACAATAAATTGACCGAAGTTAATGCCTCATAAGTTCTCTGGCCTTCCAATAAAGCCCAGTCTCGGAGTCGCCCCTAACGACTGCACAGTGGCGGATGTGGTGTGGATAGGGATATTAGAGTTACAGAGGGGGCAGTAAGGGCTTGAGAAGATCCGAATATGGTGAAGGTGATCTGCAAGACAATCATGTCCGGTTACTATTTTATTTAAGTAAGATATTGTTTCTTATAATTTGTAACTTAGTAAGATATTGTTTTTTATTTTTTAATGTTTGGATAAATTTCTAAAAAATTAAGACACATGTGGAGGAAATATCTTTAACTAGTAGAATACATTGTTTTTAGTGAATAAAAAATGTTTTAATATGATACATTAAGTAGTATTTTCACAAAGTGTACCAAATGTGAAATAAAGAGTGACCCCAAAAAAAAAAAACTTTAATAAGTATTGTTTAATATATTTTCATTAAGCAAAAGAAAAGGATTCTAAGCAATTATACCTCAAAATTTTTTTATTTTTACAGTGGCTTCCAAAAGTGTTCGCACACTTATGACTTTTATTGAAATAGGGCTCTTTTCATTCATTAAAATGAATATTTCAGAAAGGGTATTTAATAATAAGATGTATAATCTATTCTTAGCAAAACTTATGGAATATGGAATATTTTAAAAACAAAGCAAAAGTTTATTTTTGAGAAATCAATAAATAAATAACAAAAATTTTACTTTACAATCATTGTACACTTAAATGCTTTCGGATTTCAGAATTAAAATTAGTGTCTATTACTTTAATTTTTTTTATTTAATTATTTTACATTTAATTTTTAGTTATTTATTTATTTGCAATTTAGTATCAAACTTGTGTTAGCAAAATTATATTTTAATTTTTGCTGGCTAACTCCATAATATTTTCTTCTATCATTTATAAGTGGCTCGTAGTCATAATTATACAACAGACAACCTTTGAAAGATGATTATTTGTCATCATAAGAGGTAATTCAGTAATGAATATTGCTAAATTAGTCTATTTTGCAACATTCCATTGTGTAACATGAGGTAAAATGCTTCATATCAGTGTGATCTGAGATTAAAATTATAAAATTTGCGAAAAAATTCATAAATTCCAATTTGAAAGTCGTAAAAATTTCTGCAAAATTTAATAAAAATATTCTGCTTAAATTTCATTTTCGATGAGGCTTTACTTTGTAAAATCAATGATAAATAGATCCCTAACGTAGTAATAATGTTTAATCGGTTAATGGAAACAAACTTAATACATTGGGTTTTGATGTGCATTATGAAGCAGAAAAAATGAGGAACTTTATCCAAAATAGTTGGAATAGTTAAGTATGGTGGTGTCTTTGTATGTTGGTGCATATCACAGGAATAAGGTAATTAGTCATTTATTGATGGCATAATGAATAAACCTGTTTATTTAAATATTTTAAGATACAATTTACAATTATCAGCCAAAAATTTGGTTATTGGAAACTTTGTTTTATATTAAAATTGCTACTGGTAAATTTAATTGGTAAATATTCTAATTATACTAAAAATTAGAATATTTACCAATAAGCAGAGTTTTTTTTAAAGTGTACGACGACTTTCTTATAAATAAACTTTTGCTTTGTTTTTAAAATATTCTATGCAGTTTTGCCAGGAATAGAGTATATTTTTTATTGATATATCCATTCTGAAATATTCATTTTAATTAATATAAAAAGTCCTATTTCATTGAAAGTCATTAGTGTATGAACTTTTTTAAGAGACACTAGATTTATATTTCAATATAAAGCTATTTTGTACTTTATATTATCTAAACAGAGCTCTTTATAAAATTCATTGATCCTATTTTATTTAAACCAATATCTAAAGTCAAATCAATGTATAAATAATGTAGTTTGTTAGGAATTAGCATTATTCTAAGAGATAGTCAGAATACAAAAATGAATGTAGTAAATGCAGAATTGTCAAATTTCTTCTTGCGCACTCTATAAGAAAACTCGATAAAATTCTTTAAATCTTATTCATTTTGCCTTCTTAGTTGAAATAAAAATATTTAAAGAATTCCAATCTAACCACATAGTTTTTTAGTTTAAATTAGTCAATTGTTTTTACAACTAGAAACCTGTCCTTGTACAGTGCAGAACAAAAAAACAAAGTTTTGTTTTCCTTCTTTCCAAGAAAGACACACATAGAGCCCATGCAAAATATTCGCCGAATGCGATAAAATTGTAAATTCAGTGAAAGAAATAGCGTTTTGGCGAACAATTTTTATATAGTTAAGAAAAATATATATTCCCATTGATCATGAAAATTACATCAATATGATTTTTTTTGGAATAAATCTTGTTTATTTTATTCGATTACAATAATTTCTTATGGATATGTCACATAACAATTAGAATTATATTAAGTCCAGATAATTTAAGCAACAAAAAAGCAAAGGAAAAAAAATTCAGATCACATGTCTGTTGCTGGATTACGCAATATCATGCAACAGAACTCTTTCCTTTGATTAACACTTTTTATATTTCAACCTTTAATAAATGTTTGGATAATTTATTGGCTAGTAATTTGAAGTGTTTAGTATGGGGCCTGCACGTGAATAAAAATTTTTGAGATTTTACTCTAATACATCATTTAACATATTTCTTATACATTTTTCAGTCTTTGCCAGCTTTTTAAGGTAAAAGGAGAAACAGTTTCAAAAATATCTCTAGATTGCAAACAACACTTACAAACGTTCAACATTTTAATTACTACACATTTCGTATTTTGAAGTAAAAATAGAATATTTACCATACTACTTCAAAATAGCGGGAAAACCAAGCAAAATTCTTCTCAATTTTCTCATTTCCCGGTTTTCTGGATACCGGATGAATGGTTCTCTACTGTAGTTGGTACTTAAAAGAACCTTTCAATAATTAAAATATGAAATAGGAGGCTAAAATGAAATTGAGAAAATTAGAAGAAATGCAACAATTGAAACGATTTATTGTCAAACATTGCTGTTAGTGATTGCAAGAAAATGTGTGATTGATTTGCCGAGAAATAATCCACTGATTTCATTGGCTGAGTGCACAAAAGCTAGTGCTATATAAAATCTTTTGTTATTATAACCAACCTTTGTTGTATAACCAAGTAATTTTTGGAGAATTTTATTACGCTAAAGATAAAACATTTTGTCAAAAAAAAAAACTAATCCAAAAGCATCGAAACAAACTAGAACAATAAATGGATTCAGCCCACAGACTAAAAGGGAAAAAAATCCACTTTTATTATCAGAAGCAATTCCCATTCTGAACTATACAGTCCCATATTCTCCAAAGAGGTCAAAGGTTTATTCACTCATTTAGCTACCATGGGAGTTCAATGTGGTATTCCAGTTTAACAGGGTTATAATGAAGCAAATTTTGATGCAAGTAAGGTATTGCTAAGTTGATGATATTTCAACTGTTTGGCAATAAAAGTCCATCTAAAAAAGGGGGGTTAAACGGATGGTAAAATAATTTAAATTAAGAAAAATAATTCCTGCTTTTCTTTAAAATTCCCTGATCTTTCTAGGCTTTTATCCAAATTTCCCTGATTTTCCCCAGTGCAAAAAATCCCTGATAATTCCAGGTGGGTAGCCACCCTGATATAGCAATATAAAAGTATGAAAGAATCGTTCAAACATTTTATGCAACATAAAATAAGAAATTTTTTTTTTGTTGTTGCATGAAATCTATAACAGGGTGCATAGTCAAATCTTTTAACAAAAAATAAGCACCTTTTAAGTACTTTTTAAGCACTAAAAGAATATTCTTAAGCACTATATACATTAACAAAATGCAAAATAGCTTTCAGAGACTTTACATGATCATTATAAAATAACTAAGTTTCTGATTTTAAAAAAAAAACTCTTTTTCTTTCTTGATTATATAAACCACCATAAAAAGATGGAGAGTATTCGCATTGCTTGAAATACAGCAAAACAAAAGTATCGAAGAATCATTCAAAAATTTCATGCAATGGAAAATTAGAAAATTGCACTCAAGTATTATTATGAAATTAAATATAAACAATTATGTTTTGTGGCATTTGTACTTTAGGCAAACATGTTACAAAACAGAATATAGCCACTATGAAGCATTTGTTTATGATAGACTATAATTCAACTCTCATAGCACAATAATTGAAAAGCCTCTATAAAAAAAATTATTAGAGATTTAATTCTAACATAAAACTTAATTTGAAAAGTTTGTTTCTGAGATTGAGTTTTGTTATCACTCATTGCAAAATCAAAAGTTAGCTGCTCCATAAATTTTTAATATAACTTTCACATGTTTATAGTATGAGGCATTAAGAAATAAATACATTCATAAACAACTACTATGATAAAACAACCAAGAAATAAAAACATATACACATAAAATGTGCAATTAGAAAACAATTTAAATGCTACCTGCAATAAGATTTTGTTGTTCTTCATGGCAAGACATCTTGTATTGTTCATAAATGTAGTTAGGAATTTAAACAAACCTAAAAGAAAAAAAATTTAAACATTTATTTTTTTAATGTAATTTTTTTTTTAAAAATTTAATGAATCATAAAATAGTTTAAATTTCATACTAGTTTTAAATAAGTATAACTTAATAGAGCTTAAAATAATTTAAAATTAACATATATATATATAAAAGAAATATTGTTGTTTCAAGTTTCTAGATTCAGTAAGAAATTTAATGCTTCTTTCAACCTACGTGGAAAAAACAGTTTTTAATTGCAATGAAGCTCAAATAATAGTATTAATTTCCAAGCTGTTTAATGCATCATTATAATAAAAAAGCAACACTTAGGAATAAAAATTAATTTAATGCATTTCTGAAGAAAATAAAATTATTGTAGAGCTTTAATATTTTACTTACACGTTAGAAATGAAATATAAATTTTTATAATTTTTAAGAAGTCAGTTATTATCATATTTAAACAGTTTATGCCATAAACTGTTAAAATATCATAATCAGTTTTTTAATGCTTTTCAATTAACAAATAACATACTAAAGATTGCATACTACTGCAAATAGCAAAATACCATACTTATTTTTAGCAATTGAAAGTTGTTTAGTATGCGACTAAATCTAAATGATTCATGTATTTTAAAATTCTGCACAAAACTAAAATAAATAAATTGAAGATAGTTATTTTATTTATTCATTTCCCCCAGTTTCTCAGTTTTTTTTCTTTTCATAAAAGTTTTTCCCACTTTCTTTCAGTGAAAGGCTGTTTCTGGACAAAATGAATGGGACACAAATTTAAAAGTCAAAAAATTCAGTAGATTTTACAAAATAATACAAATTTCATGATAATTGTTGCATAATGAACTATACACATAGTTAATTTTAGGAATTTTTATAGTCATCAAAATAGAAAAAAACTGTAATACTTTACAGTTATGATTTTATATTAAATGAACATTTATTCTGTTTACTCATAATTTTTAATAGTAACAAGCATCAAAGATAGTTAAAAGACTTTTTAATTAATTTCAAAAAGGGATTTCAGAATAAATAAAAAAAAACTGAACATTTTAGAGCAAAAAAAAAAGTCTTAAACTGATTTCTTTAAATGAGACTCGCTTTATTATGCGTCTGTTCAAATTAAATATCTGTGTAAAAATGCTATTTCAATAGGGATTTTTTCATGAAGCTCCTTGTTTAATTGAATTGCTTGTCAATTGGCTGTTAGAAGATACAACAAGTGTAATTCATTACAGAATTTATACTTGTAATACATTATTTTGTTCCTTCAGTCAAATTATCAGTGGGCAATGTTCAATTTTTAATATCAGGTATTTTGTTAAGTACTTCTTTTGTGATTGCTTCAAGATTTTAAAATAAATATTTTTTTTTAACTTTATAATTGCAGATTAATCTTGTTAGTTTTTACCCAGCAACAGAATGTATATACATGTTACTGCGATAAATGGCCAAAATATATACTTGGTCAAGTTGAGTACCACTGCCCGGTATGTCCTACATCAATATTTTTTTAAGGTCAAGTGCCACTGCCCATGATGCATTGAACCGGTAATCCGAACACTGATGTTTCTCCTAATATATCCTTAGAAGATATCGAATAAATATAATAATATCAACAGATAAATTTGTATCAAATCCGATTTAACAAATATTTCGGACATTCACCAAAGTGACTATGTGATTGTTGACATTCACCGGTGAAAGTTGACATTCTCTTAATTTCAATAATTTACGGTAACATATATTTTATAAGTATTTTTATTTCAATGAACAACATACAGTCCCTGCCCAAATTATTAGATGCACTAAAAGATTCTATGTGAAATCTTAATTATCAGGTGATACTATACAGTTCCATTGTTTTTATGCGCCTGAAACCGGTTTGCACTTGTTTACGTTAGTCTATCAATTGCTTAAATTAGACAATATGTAATATAAATTTGGCGATGGGATAAAAGAGACGATATATTATGTAAATATAGAGAATATTTATTATATCAAGCATTATATTAGTATGTTATAATAATTTGATCAAATATTAGACGCACTGTAGTGTTTTAATTATGACATGATTTGTACAAGTTTATAGGCAATACTTTTATGTTTAAACATCAGTAAAAAGTAAGCAACTATTTATTGGTTATGACAAATAATAATATCATTAAAAGAAAGGTAATTTAGCTGAGAGTATTTCATTAAAAGATTAAAAAATATATGTATAAAAATAAAACTTAACAGAAAGTAGTTAGTGGATTGACAAAAATTTTAAATGTTACATAGTTAAACAATTGCAGAATTTTAAAAACCTCCATTTTTATCTTTAAAAAAAAAGTTCATTTAAGTAAAAACTGCTATTGCGTTGATATTACACATTACAAAAATGAACAATATTTATTCGAAAACAACTATAATAATTTTTATTTCCTTTTAAGATTTATAACAACAGCTGGTGCAGTTAAGTTTACATGGTGAATATGAAGTATTATCAGACTTGTAAATGACGCATATCTTTATATTCCGTAAGATAAAATTTATTTTGGGCTTTGAACAACTTTTAATGCCATTTGTCAAGCAATTGCACAGGGGAAAAAATAACTGCTAATGATGCAAATTAAAAAATAAACTTTTGTTTAAAAAGGAGTATATAACAAGTTTTTGAATACAAAAAGTAAATTTTAAAATGAAAATAAATAAAAAGGTCAGTTAAAAAAAGAATCATAATTATGAATCATTTTTAAAAACTACCTTCAGATGATGAGTTCTCATAATCATATTTCTGAAAACCGCAGAATATTTGCAAGAGAGGGACAAACGCAAGACTATATATATGATACAGTGAATGACCAAAATCAAGAGAATATCGACTGTGGATAGTATTTTCTTCCCCACTCCGAAATGCGAGAAAGGCATCTTTTGAATATAATTCCATAGAAAAGAAAAAAATCTTTTGAAAATTTCGGCAGAAAAGCAAAACTTTTTATTTTCAATAGGAAAAATACTTCTGCAAGAAATCAGTAACGCTCTGCAACAATGTCGCCACAATTCTGTCATTCAAAAAACAGCACAAAGAAAAAGTAGTGACTAATTTTAGTTTTGTACTGCTACTTATAGCATGCTACATCTGACAACTGGTTTATAGGTATATAATTGAAAAAAATTAAAGAGGTTCCCCTCTTCTCGCTTTGCCTATTAACTCATGGCAAAAGAAGAAAAAAAATTATTCCTATTTTCATGCCCGTTTTGCATTAATCCTATTCATCAGCTTTTCCCATTCTGCCCTTCTCCCAGCAATTGTTTTCCAGTTCTTTACTTTTAGGATGGCAAAATCCTCATCTACACACTCCTTCCATCTTTTTTTGGGCCTTCCTCTTGGCCTTTTATTGGAGGGGGTTGCATTAGAGACTTTCAATGCTGTTCGTTCTGGGCTCATTCTTACTACATGCCCGGCCCATCTCATTCTACTTAAATTAATAGATTTAATGATATCATCGCCATCAAAGATCCTATATATTTCAAAATTATATCTTTTCCTCCAGTTGTCTTTATCGAGTATAGGGCCAAAGATGGTTCGTAGGACCTTCCTTTCGAAGGTTGCTAATAACTTTTCTTCCCTTTTTGTTAAAGTCCATGTCTCTGAAGCATAAGTCAAAACTGACTTGATTAATACCTTATAAAGTAAGATCTTAGTCTTTCTTTTTATTAAGTGAGATTTCAATAATGATCTTAAACCATAGAAGCAGCGATTAGCTGTGATTATTCTTTTTCTAATTTCAGGATTGATGTCATTTTGAAAGTTTATTTCTGATCCTAGATAAGTAAAATTTTTTACAGATTCAAATTTAAAAGAATCTATTTTAAACAATTTAGGGATGGTTTCCTTTGTACCACAATACATATATTTTGTTTTCTCTACATTCACTCTTAAGTAAATTTTTCTAGCTGATTTTTCCAGTGCCACAAAATTTTCACTCAGTGCTGTCCTAGATCTTGCGATGATATCTACATCATCGGCGTATGCCAAAATCTGCACTAATTTATTAAATATAGTACCTGTAGTATTTATGCCAGCATCTCTAATAACTTTTTCTAAGGCTATGTTGAACAGAAGACATGCTAATGCATCTCCCTCATCAGCAGCTCATGTGCTGTTGAGAGTATAGAATCTTTTACTTGTTGCCATTCCCTATTTAATTCATAGCAATCCTCTTTCGCATTAAGCTCAGTTGAGAGTTGAGTTTGAAATTCCCTGCGAACCTCAGGATTGCTCAACTTTTCACAATTAAATCTTACAGAATTGACTCTTCTTGCTTTTCTCACCATTGAGATTCTTTCCCTTAGCTTACAGATCACTAAATAGTGATCAGAGTCTAAGTTAGCTCCTCTGTGAGTTTTTACATCTAAAAGATTTGTACGATATCTAGAGCTAATTTGTATATGGTCAATCTGATTTCTGTATGATCCATCAGGGGATCTCCACATTACCTTATGAATGTTCTTATGTTGAAAGAAAGTGCTTCCAATTATCATATCATGAGATGCAGCGAAACTAATAAGCCTGACTCCATTATCATTTGAGACATCGTGTAAACTATAGTTTCCTAAAACTGGTCTAAATTCTTCCTCATGACCAACTTTAGAGTTGAAATCACCCATGATGATCTTCACGTCATGTCTTGGGCATAAGCCCCAGAGGCGATCTAACTCATCATAAAAATTATCTTTTTCCTCATCATCTCCTTGTTCAGTTGGTGCATACCCATGCAGCATGAAGGGGCAAATAAACATTAAAAATACGTTCGTTCGGTATAAGGTTTTGGACTTAACGTTAAAATTACGTCAATTTCACGTGATGATTTTCACCATTTCTTCATTCGTTAAAACGTATGCGTTAAAATGACGGTATTTTAACGCTATCAATTTTCCCTTAAAATATTTCGTTAAAAATTAGTACTAAAAATACGTTATATTAACGTGTACATTTTACCCATTTTTTTACCGATTTTTAAAAACGCTTTATTAACGAAAAAGTTACGCTTTGTTGCATAGTTATGTTTACGTTAATTTTTTAGG